TGATACATGTTATTCACGAAAATTGAGAGATGTTATTGATCGAAATGGACTTTACCAACTAGTGCAACAATCTACAAGAATTACATCACAAAGTGCAACAAAAATAGATCTTATAATTACTAATGACAATCAAATTGTACATAATGTGCACTACACACCAAAAATAGTTGACCATTCCATTATAACAATCAACATCACAGAAGTTTCAACATATGAAAAGAGGATTTCTTTTCGTGGTACCAAAAACTTTAATGAATTGCAGTTCCAGCTAGACTTACTTGATTGCAATTGGCCCAAAGATTTATACATCCTAGACGACAAGGCAAATTTCTTGGTGAAAACCCTTACTGAAATAGTTGATGCTCCTATAGTGGTGAAAGAAATAAATTGTAAATGGGGAAATAAAATGTGGTGGACAGTTGAACTGGACAATATCATAACAGAAAGAGACAGGAGGTACAAAAGAGCAATAATTACACAAGCAGAGGATGACTGGGAATTATACAAAGAGCAAAGAAATTTAGCAGTTAAAAAAATAAGACAACAAAAGAGATACTTTTACCAAGAAAAAATTGATGAATCGAGAGGAGACTCTAGAGAAATGTGAAGAGTATAATTGGTTCTAGGAGCAAGTTTAAGGCAATAAATGGTATCATGTTTGATGGCAAACTGATTACAGACAGTCTCGAAATCGCCAATACTTTCAATCACTTCTATATAGAGAGCATAAATGAGCTAAGTACTATACCTGATCCAACAGAATGTGACAGAATGCTTGACAGTATAGTAACACCACCTAAAAAATTCACAGAGTTCAAGATATTACAGATATCAGAACTTAGGAAAATTGTGAATGATATGAAAAACAAAAAAAGTAGCACTGATGGAATAAACACAAAGATATTGAAGCTCTCATTTGAAGCCATTGGCAATCGTTTCTTGGATGTAATAAACCAAAGCTTAGAAACTGGGTCATTTCCAAGTGAATGGAAAATGTCAACTATTATTCCCATAGAAAAAGTTAGTGGAACTATTCAGTGTGAAGAACATAGACCAATTAATATGGTACCAGCATATGAAAAACTTCTAGAAACGGCAGTTAATATCCAGGTTCGAGATTATGTGAATGCAAGCAATATTATTACAAACTGTCAAGCAGGTTTCCAAAGTGGTCACTCATGTGAAAGTGTTCTACATTCAGTGATATCTAGCTGGAAATCTTCATTAGACAACAAAGAAATGGTGGGCGTGGTTTTCTTGGACTTTCGCAGAGCATTTGAAACTGTTAACAGAGAATTACTAATTAGGAAGTTACAAAGGTATGGCTTTCAAGATAAAGTCCTAGGTTGGTTTTCACAATACTTGGAAATGAGATCTCAAAAAACCAAATATTTAGAATCATTATCTGAATCTACGATCAATGTACATGGTGTTCCACAGGGTACTGTGCTGGGCCCAGAAGTGTTTTTGTTGTACATAAATGACATTGTTAATATAATTAAGAAGTGTGAAATTCAACTCTTTGCAGATGACACTATGCTTTTTGTTAAGGGTGATTCAGTGGATGATATAATAAACTTTTTAAATGAAGATTTAAATAATATATATAAATGGTTAAACAATAATAGTTTAAGTGTGAATGAAAATAAAACTAAATGTATGATATTGAAATCTAAGCATAATGTAACTAACACATACAATAACAAAGGTATAGTAATTAATGGTAGTAGACTAGATCAAGTTGATGAATGTAAATATTTAGGAATAATTATAGATGAAAATTTAACGTTTTCAAACCATATAACCAAAAAGCTGTCAAAGAAAGTGAATTTATTATGTAGAATGGGGAAAGACCTGAGTGTCTGGGCTAATTTAATTATATATAAGACGATAATCCTACCACATTTCAGTTACTGTGCAACAATCTTGTATATGTTTAAGAAAAGTGATATTCATATTATTAAAAAAAAACAAAACCAGGCATTGAGAAGTATTTTGGGATGGGGAAGATACGGTAGAATTAAAGACATGCTGACATCTACAAATTTATTAAGTGTAAGCCAGGAGATCTTTTATAACACTATGGTGGTAGTATACAAAATAAGGAATAGAATGTACCCAGAGCATATTATTAATAAATTAAAAATGGTCAGCGATATACATAGTTAAAATGTTAGATCTAATTCCAACTTTTATGTGTCTCGGGTACAATCTTCCTTTGCCCAAAACAGCTTATTTTATAAGGGACTTGTAGATTTTAATAGGATTCCAGAAGAAATTAAAACTACAAATTTTGTTAACTTCAAAAGGCATTTAAAAAAATATGTAATAGAAAATTTTAGTTTATAAGTTTATATCCAAATGTTTTCTCTGTTAGCACATTGCTATGAAATAAAGATCATCATCAAAATAAGTCTATAACGCATAGGTGGCTGTGAAAAATAAAAGCCATGACAATTGTTTTTATTAATCGCAGCTGTCAGAATAGGTTTAAAATAGTTGTGGGTAGTTAAGGTTTTCAAAATGGGTACAGGAAATGTTATTAGTGAGAAAATTCGGTTACTAATAATTAAACTTTTTCATTCTGGGAAATCAAACTCTGCAGAAATTGCAACTTTGATAGACTTATCGCGGTACAGTGTGAGAAATATTGTTAGAAAATATAACGTAACTGATTCAGTTAATATTAAGCCACGATATGTGAAAAAAAGTAATATCACAAATGCCGACCGAAGAGCAAAATGAAAAACAAGCGTGCCAATTATTTACAATTAAGTGCTCTGTGGAGTGACGCGGTTGCAAGGAGAATTTCGAGGTCCACAACTCATAGAGAGGCCCACAAACTGGGATTTAGCACTTGCAAGGTAAGTTTTCTTATAAAAAAAAGTAAAGTAAAAACCCTAAAGTTGCACAACTTGTTTATAGGCCAAAGAAAAGCCACTATTAACTCCACTGCAAAAGAAAAATCGGCTTAGATGGGCTAAAGAACATAGACAATGGACACCTCAACAATGGTGCGCAATACAGTGGAGTGATGAGGTCCGATTCGAAGTTTGTGTTGGAGACAGTCGCAGTAGAGTTATTCGAAAAAAAATGAAGCATTCCATGTTGACTGTCTGAAGAGAAAAGTGAAATTTCCAGCATCAGCATCCATTATGGTCTGGGTCATCAAAAGGAGTAGGAAAACTTCATTTTATTGATGGAAATGTGGATACAAACAAATATTTGGCAATTTTAGAAGAATCGCTTTTACCAGTGATGGAAGAATGTTTGACATCCGGCCAAGATTTTGTGTTTCAGCAAGATGGTGCAGCATGCCATACCTCAAAACAGGCTATAAAATGGATGGAAGAAAATAATGTATCACTTTTGAAATGGGGTTCTAGCAGTCCAGATCTGTTACCTATTGAAACTTTGTGGCACGAGATGAAAAAGGTTCTGCGACAACATCCTGCTCGTACAATCACCGAACTGAGACAAAAGCTTCAAGAAATATGGGATTGTTTTACACAAATTTTTTGCCAAAACTTGGTTAACACTATGCCCCAAATAATTTTAGCCGTAATAAAAAATAAAGGTGATGTTACCCAATGGTAATCTTTCAATTGTTGCTTTGTTAACTTCGCGCATTTATTCGCACATTGTTTATTTGTTCAGATGTTCTATTAGTTATAGGTCTAAGTGATTTCAAATATGAATTTTTTACTAGAGTGTATCTAAAATGTTTTTGAGAAAATAAATTGTTTTAGAAGTAAATAGTATCATTTTAATTTATAAAGGCATATTTTGGTACAAATCTTGAAGTGGGCCAACTGAAGTGAGAAGGGGCTCGTATTACATTAATAATGGCCAAATGACCGGACCATCTTTGTGCGAGAAGGCGAACAATAGTCTTTCCTTTATAAATAGCTAAATCTTTGCCATGCTGGAAAAATTCGTGTACACTGGTCAAAAAAAACATTTATCATGTTAATTTCAGAAACAATTTTGACTACAACTAAATGGAGCCTGTGGTTATAGCAATGAATATAAGGGATACTTCTTTGAATCTCTTTTTGCATGAGGGCAGAAACTCCACCTTTTTTACCACTCATGATGCTTGCTTCGTCATGGCACTGACTCAATAAACGTGAACGCTCAATTTCATATAAGTCCAAAATTTGAAGTGTCATATCTGTAAACGTCTTTTCATCCATTTTGTCACTCACGTAAATACCTATTAAGGATTCATGAGCGATCCCATCTTTTACGTAACGAATACCTATGGACACATTCTCCCTGTTATTTTTATCTCTAGTTCCATTTTCTAACAATGTGAACCATGGAACATCAGATTTTTTAATATCGTCCACTACGCTTTGACGTACTAATTCTCCTAATATGCCAATAATTTCATTTTGTATCTCAGGTAGTGATGAGCGATATTTCACTAACTGTGATTTAATCACAATTATCGAGAATTCACAAGTCACAACTGTTACCAAAACTCGTTCTAAAGTGTCACTCGATCACAGTCACAGCTCACAACCCACAATCCCTCACTCTGCCGGCGCGGCGCCGCGCCGCGCAGCTGGCTGGGAGACGGTGAGAGTGAGACGGGGATTCCTTAAGGCGCGGGACGCTTAATTTCCCTTGTTATTCTTATGGCGATAAACGAAATTCAACCTTGTTGACACTGTGGTCTTCGTTCTCTTTGGTTGGTTGGTTGCTAGTTGCTACTCGGCGATTTAAAATACTGGAACTGGAAAGTTTAATAGATCGTTATGTGATTAACAGTAACATTTTATAGAATATCGTGAACCTTAAAAATGTGATTTGCATGATTTCGGCCGATAAGCGATACGGTTGTATTAAAATGCATCGTCTGATACATCTTTAATTACTAAGTTCAAGTATAATTTTAGGAGTTTCGTCATCTACGCATATGTAAAAGAAATAATGGCCTCCGTCTCGGTTAAAAAGAAAACGTGTGAAATATGGAAATTTTTTGATCCGATAGACGAAAGTCATGCAATATGCACTATGTGTAAATCAAAACTTTCATATAAGACGAGCTCATCAAATTTAAAAAAGCACATACAAAAGAAACATCCTACGGTCACAATCACTTTTTTGGAAAGCAAGAGGTCAACAGTGGTAGCCCAACATAAAGAAAATGGCCAGGTATTGCAACACTGTCATTATTCAATAATAAAAAATACATATTACCTAAATGCTTTATTTTAGAATAACGAAAGTATTGATAACGATCGTCCATCTACTTCAGATGTTTCATCACTTAATTCCGTGGAAGGTCGAAGGGCTTTAGTCAAAAGTTCAACAAATAAGTCACATCAAGATCAAACCAGGGTCGACGATTAGTTCCGTGTGCCTCCAAAAATATCTGTTAGAAGTAAAGACAATTTAGATAAAAAGTTGCTTGGCTTATTTATTAAAGGCCTTCAACCTTTTTCAGTAGTAGATGATATTGGATTCAGAGAATTCGTATTAGCATTGAATCCCTCATATGAGCTGCCAAGTAGACATATCATTTCTAAAACTCTGATCCCTGCTTTATATGAAGAATGTCTCACTAATACCAAAACAATAATAAATACTGGCAGAACGTTTTGTATTACAACAGATGCCTAGACATCAATTAACAACGTTAGTTATGTTGGTGTAACAGCACATTTTTTGGACAGCGAATTCAATTTTAAGTCGATACTTCTGGAATGTACCGCAACTGACATGCGTCACACAGCTGAGAACCTCGCTGAAGATCTGAAAAGGGTTACAAGAGATTGGAAAATCGAAAATCGGGTTATCTTTGCTGTAGCAGATAATTCTCCAAATATACAGAAGGCATTGCAGCAAATCGGCTGGAGACATATGGGATGTGTTGCACATACTATTAACCTAATTGTCAAAGACAGTATAAAGAATGATGAAATATTGGGTGTTTTAGAAAAAACAGAGAAATAGTCAATCACTTTAAAAAAGTACCATTTCAAATAACAAGCTCCTGAAAAAATCTATTGAAGCTGATTCTAGAAGTACCAAAAGATGGAATTCTTTGTTTCACATGTTACAAAGATTTGTTGAGTTGGAAGAGGTTATTAAGTGTACGTTGGCCGTTATTGATAAACAGCTACCTACTCTTACGTCTGCGGAATGGCAAGTTATAAAAGAATTATGTCAAATACTAAAACACTTTGAAAGAGTGACTGAAACGTTGAGTGGGGAAAAATATTGTACTGGTGCTCTTGTCATACCAATCTGTAACGGACTAGTAAATATTTTTGAAAGATTAACTAAAAAAAAATATTCTCAACCATTAACTGATATTGTACAAAAGTTTTTTACAGAGTTACAAAAACGTCTTGGTAGCATCGAGAAGAGTCAAACATTGTCCGTTAGCACGTATCTTGATCCAGATTCAAAAATTTAGCACTTAGAAATCATTATACAGCCGAGGACATAAAAAAGACGGTAACCGAAATAATAGTAGAAAAAATAAATGAAGTGACACGCGAAAATCAGAAAAAACCGGTAGAACAACTTACCAAAGAAACTTCAGTAGATGATGCAGAAGAACATATTTTTGGTGACTTCGATAAAATTGTGGCTCAAACTCAACCTAAAGGAACATCTATGTCACGGGCAATAATTGAACTTCAGAGATACCTTGAGGAAGAAATATTACCACGAAAGAGCGATCCTCTTCTGTGGTGGCGGAGCCATAAGCAAATGTTCCCTTGTTTAGCTACAGTTGCACAGGAAAAAGTGGACGTTTTAGCTACCTCCGTTCCATGCGAACGTTTGTTCTCCACAGCAGGCCAGGTTCTTTCTGAACGTCGGAATAGGTTGAGCAATAAAAAAGTTCAAATTGTTTTATTCCTTAATTCAAATTTAAAATATTGCAAAGACTGAGACTAAAACTGTTGTATTTCTGTTCCTAATATGTTTACTTTTATTATATTATTTTTTTACTTTTTTTCACATATTGTTGTTTTCATCTTTAGTTATTATTATTAAGCAGTAACAGAAATACTATTTTAATTTATTTTTATTGTTTGTATAAGAATGGCTCTTATTTTCGTTTCCTATTTATCACCAAAAATCGCATATTTTATATATTTTGTTCATTTTTAAAAATAAATATTTATTTATTATTAGCTATGTTTCATAATTTTATTATACATCCTCATTCTTGCTTTTTTTAATATAAACCATTTTAATATTATTATCACATTCTTTAAAATCAATAGGGACAATAATTTGGGTCATATTATATCAATATTTAACATGAATCTCGATCACAGCCACTTATATTCTTTTTACATACCCAACGTGCACTTTTTGCAAATGTTGTGATCACGTCACGCTTTAAAATCACTGATATCTAACAGTCACAATCGCAATTAACAATGTGATTGGGAAATAACGGTATCGCTCATCACTAATCTCAGGAAAAGTATACAGTGGACCTCCGGTTATCCGACAAACATTATGCAGGGCAGTGTCGGACTATCGAATTTGTCGGATTATAGAGCACTGCCTAAGACCCCTATAGTCCGGAATTTTTTACAAAAGAGTACCATGTAATCCGACAAATTACATATCCAATGGTAAGATTATGTTATGTATATGTATGTATGTACAAATCATACATGGTTTATGTATGTCGAATTTAGTAAATTAAATAACAATAGAGAGCTTACGTTTTATTATAAAATTAAGCATAAATGCACATACATATGTACAAAAATAATCAAGAATTATTATTCAAAATCATTAATGAATTTATCAAATCATATCAAAATCAGGGCTTTGTCCCTCAATCTTCTTAAAAGTAAAAGTTCGTTGTAGGATGTTCTATTCTCTTCAGCCCATTGTAAACCTAGCTCAAAGGCATTAATTGCGTCTTGTGCTGTGACTTGTGGAGTAGTTGCAATCACGTCGTCGTTATTTTCCTGATTGTTTGTTGTATGATTAGAAACCTCTTTTATAATCTCTTTGTCAGACATTTCATGAAAAACATTTTCCACTTTATCCATTCCACGGCACCAAATTTCCAAATCTTCCGGACTTATATGTGTTTCAGTAGCGACTTGTTCTATAACTTCCGAAGTAACACTGATTTGTGGAACGTTGCTAGAAGTGGTGACTATATCTGGCCATAACTTTTTCCAAGACGATTTAACAGTTGATGACGGTAACGCATTCCACGACTGACAAAGAGCAAAAACCAAGTCTTTCATATTAAATTCTTTTAAAGTTTTTTCTATTGGTTGGTCTTTTGATACGACTCTCAGAAGTAGCTTTTTCTTATAGTCTTGCTTGACAAATTGAATGATATTCTGGTCCATTGGTTGAATCAGTGCAGTGCAACTGGGCGGAAGAAACTTCGCAGTGATGCATTTATCCTCAGTTGTTATCAAGAAGCAACAACGCTTTTTGAGGAAAATTATGATCTTTTAACCATTTTCTAACTTCAGGTACGAAGCATTCATCAAACCACTTTTTGAAAAGGTCTTTTGTCATCCATGCACTTTTTTGTCCGTAATAGTGTAACAGGTAAATCAATGTTTTTGAATGCCCGTGGTCTATTAGACTTCCCAATGACCATCATCTTAAGCGCGTGTGTGCCCGCAGCGTTAGCACATGGTAGTATGGTTACACGCTCTTTACTTACTTTTCGTCCAGATACGGATTTTTCGTTACAAGAAACGAAAGTTTTGTTAGGCATCACACGCCAAAAAAAGCCCTGGTTCGTCTGCATTGTACACCTGTGACGGGTCAAGATTTAAATCGTTCACCTTTTGCAAAAATCTTAATTTAAAGGGCTCTATGCAGGTGGCATCGTTAGAAAGTTTTTCTCCTGTAATAGTCATTAAACGTATGCCATGACGTCTTTTAAAACGTTCTAGCTATCCTTTGCTGGCCATAAAATCATCGTTTTTTGTTATTTCCCTATAAAAAACTTAGCCTTCATGGCCAACATGGGTCCTGAAATTGGTGCATGCCTATTTATTTCTTGAAGAAACCACATGTACAAAGCTTCTTCCACTTCTGGATATTCAGCTTTCTTGAGTGTGTGTCCGCAGTCACTAGTTGACACGAACTTCTTTATCTTCTCGTGGTTTCTTTTAATGTCATAAATTGTAGATCGGCCTACGCCGTATTCACTTGCTAAACTACTGAAAGTTTCATTGCGATTATGCGGTCTAAAATATCACATTTTTCTTTAATTGTCAATGTTTTGTGCTTTCGCTTCTGAGTTTGTGATGACATTACTAGGTACTATACTTAATACACAATGAATAAATAGTAAACAATGAACGCACGCTAGGCCGTACCGCTATCACCAGTAGTCAAATTCAAACTAAGTAAAACAATGATTACGCGTCGAGCACGATAGCGGTGGCGCGTACAAGTTGTAACATGTTCAAACCTGCGTGATCTACATCAGCGAAGATTGTCAAACACATATGTATGTAATACATATTCAAAGACATGTCGGATTACAGGGGGCGCCGGATTAGACAGGGGCCGGATTATCGGGGGTCCACTGTACTTGACATTTTTAGGAATGTGTTTTATAGCCTCTTCAAGAACTTTGTCCTTTTTACGGGTATAATTAATAAGACTTATGAATAAACCTCGTTCTTTTTCTTCTTCCATAACATAGCTTCCTCCCAGCGCAAGTTCGTTGATTACCTCAGCTATTGATTTTACATAGTATATATATATATTTTTCAAGCAACTCGCTATTGATATGTGTTGAGACTGCAGTGACACTGGAGTCGCGAGAGGATCGTTCCTTCCACATAACCATTGCTTTCAAATAAATTTCCGTTTTTTCATGTCGCGGGAATCCATTTTTAGAATCCATTGCGTTTTTCCAAATTGTGAATCCCTCATGAGTATATATAATATCTTTATTACTAAACGGTTGAAATTGCCGACAAGCAAAACAAAAAGCTGCATCTTTTTGTACAGAATACTCAAGCCATTTAAATAATTTAAACCAACATGCTCGAAACACACGCCCGTTTTGTTTTGGATATTCCCTTAAGGCGGCTCCGACGCAGTGAGTTTCAAGCCATTTACAAGGGTTCAGCTGCTTCAAAACTGACACTCCATTTTTCAATATTTTTCAATGAAATTCATGCAGTATGTTAAGAAGATAATTGCCCAGGGTGCTATAGGAGCACTTTTTGAAATCTTGTTTTTGCACAACATGATGGGTTGAAGTGCGCCCTTTTTCTGTTCAACTTCGCGATTCTTTTAAAAAGAACCTAGTGAAAAAAATGAAAAAGAGGCTCTATAGCACCCTGTGGGGTTTTGTTTTCAGCACACTGTGAAAATTCCATCCAAAAA